GGGACACGTAGTCCGGGGGAGCGGGGTAACGCGGCGCGTGTCGGTAAAGCGTCTTACCTGGCGGTCCAGCAGCCAAGAAAAAACGAGCAAAGCCAGTGAAGAAACTGCTCCGTACGCATGGTTTGGGTGGTGAAGGGCCAGACTTTGCGTATGGGGAACAAAAAGAACGAGCACTGAACGCCCCCGGGGCCTTCTGAAAAAGAGAGAAGCGTGGCTGTGACCCCGTTACGAGATTCCTGTACCTTAATGCGTACACGAACGGGAAAAAGGGGGTATGGCAGACCTAGCTGTGCCTGTCGTAACATTTTTATTTTGTTCAGCGCCACCTATCACCGCTTTCACCTGATCCTCAAGCTTCAGGTGTAAGCAGGTCTCTTCCGTTTTGGCCAAGGAACCCCAGAGGTACCAGGCTCCAAGGAAGAGGGGACTAGACCACAGGTTTCCAGATGTTCCCCTGGAAGAATTCCCTAACTGTAAAATAACCAACTTTTTTTTTTCTTTTTTTTTTTTTTTTTTTTTTTTTAAAAAATCTTGGAGTGGTCACTTGTATTATTTTTCTCTACAACAGGTTCAAAGGACTGATGAGACCATTTAGAAGTGGGGTCCCAATATGAAGATGGGTTGAACCACTCTAACTGGTTGCATCATCAGAAAGGGTTTTCCCTCTCTCACTCGCTCCCCACTGAGGGCTACCTGCGCTCATTTTCCCATTTGTCAGTTAGGCCACATGGGGATCCCTTCCTTAAGGCAGTTCAAATTGCCATCTTGGCGGAGAACTAGCGTCAGAGGAGGGTCTGTTTTCTGCTTGGTTCACGTGTTGAATCAATCAGCCATAGTGTGTCTTGAACACCAGTCTGGTGAGCAGCATTACAGAGTAAGACCTTGCTGGCTTTGGGACCAAAAATACAGATAACTGCTACCTCATGCAACTTCACCTGTGACATTTCAGAACACCAACAGAAATACTTTTGGTTTGGACACACATCTCATCTTTTATGTTGTGTTTGATTGAGCTCTACTGGCTGAAACTAATAGGCACAGTGAAAGCTTAGGAAGAGGACCTGAACTCCTGGTCCAGCCGCTTTGTCCACCATCTGTGCTAAGAAAACTTTGAATGTGGTACCTACAGTTATATACAGTTATGCACAAGAGATTGTGAGTGGAACAGAAAGTATAATTGACCCCATCTTGTATAATATTAAATAATCTGGTTTCTGCATCTTCAACAGGTCTTCTATGAGCTAAGACATCTATCCTCTGGGACTGATTGGCCAGACAACTGATAGGGATCAAAGCCATTAAAGAACAAGCCATTAAACATCTGAGGACATGTTGCCTCTATGGAGAGTCAGGAATGGCAATTGCATATAGATCACGCATCTAACCCCCAGGCTGAGTAACTATGAATGAAAGATGAGAAAGGACCTTTAAATCCCCAAAGACATGGCTCCAGCCAGAGCATTACACACACTTGCATTTGTTAGTCAACCCCAGTTTGAACAGTATATGGAAATTACATCTGTCGGGTTATTCCATAAAAACTATCATTGAGTCTCAGAATTTATTCTCATGTTAGCCAGGGATAATCAACTCAGAAAACGATCTATCCTTGAGAAAAGGGATGGGATGTCAAACACAATGCTGAATTCCCAGCCCTGATGTGTGGGCTAAGTTTTGGAGAATCTAGGCTAAGCAACAAAAAATCCTAGAATGACGATGTGTGCTACGTTTTTTGTAACATCGGAACAAAACATTATCAATGGCTCAACCTGTTAAGTAAAACTTTACTTAATTTAAATTCTAAGGTTGTGTATTACTGGAAGGCAAGACAAATCAGGGTGATTTGGGGTCCTGGTTTACAGCAGTGAATCCAAATAGAATGTAGTGGAGAAAACATTTGGTGAAAATTCTTCATGGTTACATGTAAATACTGCTACATTTAATTAAAAAATCTATCTTAAATTTAGAGCAATTAGGAATCTACCATAGTCTGAGGCTATCAGTAGGAAGCTTCTCATGTGATGAGATGAATAAAAACACACTAATTACTTTATTACCTTGCAGATTAGAACCCAAATGTGCTACGCTAATTTTGGTTTAAAATTTAATAAAATTCTCAATTTACTTCCAAATTATTTCAGTTTACTAAGCATTTTACAAACCTGTATACAGAATCCACAGTAGCCGTACACAGTGCATTTAGATCTGTTACTCAAGCTTACATAAAGTTCTTATTTAAGTACTGAAGCAGCTTTTCTTTGATTTTGTATTTATTACTTTCATAATATATTACTAACCTGCTGTCATACTGCTGTCTTACTAAAATACTATAGCAAAGTCTTTTTGCCCTTACTGTTTGAATTATTGAACAACCTGTGTTTCATACTATGTTTTGGAGCAATGACATGTAGTTGGCCATTTCTCACAGCTCCTAAAGGAAGGACAAGGGGTTAGCCTACAAACTTCAGTAGGTTTAATCTAGTTTATACTAATTGTGCAAATTTTTGTTGGCAAAGGAGCTGTTGGTTTAAATAATCTGAGTGAATTTTCTTGCCACTTTAATTACGTCAAAAAAACCCCTAAATTATATTCAAGAAGAAGTAATCTCATTTACCATAAAATGTCTGTCATACAAATTTTCCAGGCAATGCCACATAAGTTTAATAATTTAAATGCTTAGTCAAATCTTATCTGAATCTCTTGGTCTGTAAAGCTGGACAAGAAATCTCACAAGAATACGCTCTTCTGTGAACTTTCTGGTACTTCCTGCTTTTAATTTGGCCAAAAATACTGCATAGAAAAGTGCAACACAGCACTTTTTCTCCCAGCTGGGATTAGGAAATGTAGGGTATGAAAAGTGAAAAACAGAGAGCAGACGAAAATGATCCAAATTTTCCCCAAACCTCTTAAAAAATATTTTAATTGAACTGATTTGTTAAACTGGAACTATTAATGATTGAACTCCCAATGGTAGGATTTATAAAAAATAGTTGAGTGATAATACCCAGATTTACAGTGTGCATGATTTGAAAATGTATTTTGTACCAGCACCTGTCCTGGCTGATAAATGTCAAATTAAGGAATAAATACTGTACAGTACATAACTGCTGGCAGTTTATACTCTATGTATGTGTACATAATTTAAAGACACAGTCATGTAGCCCCACCTTTCAGTGAAGTAAAGATTAAAGACCTTAACAATTGCAGAAATGCAGTTCAGCTGAACATTAGTATTTTGAAGATACTAACCTTAGAGACTAACTTGGAGCGTAAAAGATATTTTGTCTTGTGATTAGTGTACACTAAAAAGTAAAGGCAACAGCATGGGTTTCAAAGCACTGAAACTGATCTGCTAAAAATATTTTTATATTGCACAAAATCAATGGCAAAACAAAACTGCACATGCGGAAAAGAACTGGCAAGTGCTACTGTAACGTACCATGTTGGTATGTAGTATGCTTATATATTGTTACAAGGTCCCAAGACGCAATATTCTGTTAGAACCAGCGCAGGACTTAAACAGCTATACAATTGAGAGGCAAGCTAAACAGAAACAAAAAGCTGATCCAAAAAAATTTCCAGACATGGTGTCACCTGATCCTCCAGAGGGGTAAAAATTGTTTTTACTACGGTGGTCCAGTGAACAGCTGAAAAGGTCAGAGTGTGGATTAACATTTTTTGTTATTTCCCATGGAGTCTTCTAAACCCATGTTTGCAAAGGGTATTCTGGCAAAGCTTTCTACATGAAACTGATATTGCCTCAATGATTTTTCCCTCAACTGAATTAAAAAAAAGTAACTCAATAATTTAGGTATGTCAGAATATGTACAAATTTAGCTAACAGAAGGTTCAGACATTTAGTGACCCTTGACAGTTAAATAGACTGAGAAATACAAATGTCAGGTCTTATGTAGGTTCATTTTTAAAAAAATAAAACAGAAATTAAATGATAAATAGTTTGCAGTTCCATGAAAATGGCTGTTTGAGTTTCAATTTTCCAAGTACCGTGCTAAGGCAACATCAGAGGATTAACTAATTATTTTGTTCTGTACAGAAGAACACGGGGAACATGCTAAAAACATTAGCTGGTCATTTATTTTCTCTTTTCCTAAATATCCATTTTATAATGGAAAGAAGTAGTATGAAGAGCCTTGAACCTGGCAAGATCATTCCAATCCTTAGTAAATAGTTTTAAGTAGTCCTTGAAAACAAGAGTATAAAAAACAAGCATCCTGGCTTCTGAATTAACTACAGAACAAAAGAATTTCTGCCCTCTGCCCCCTTGGGTTTTGAGCAATTCTAAAAAAAAAAGTCAGAGTCAAAATGCACCTGCACATACCTAATGCAAATTGCATTTTCCCAATATGGGTGCTGAGTATAGCGTGTGATATGCTACATAGCTAGGTGCTACGCAAAGCTTTGCTCTGAGAGTGGACAGAAAAAAAATAAATCAGTTTCACTACACATCCAGAAGGACAGCAGTGTCCCAGTCCAATCCTTCCTCTCTGACCAACAAAGATTTTTAGCTGTGTCAACGAGCCAGTTAAACCTCCCATAAGCCTATACTCTCTGGTCAAGCTATGGATATGAGATGAACAAAGTGCTCTATCTTCACACATCCTCCAGTCTGCTTATTTCGCAGTTTAAGTACGCGCCAGCCAAGACTAGAGTGTCTTCCAAACCCATCTTAAAGTTAACAAGTTGTGTAAGTTCTAGCCCAGCATTTTCTTGTTTCATACAGGCTGGGATTTCCTTTTGGTTGCATATATTCAGCCAGTTGCTTTTAACTCTCTACTGCCCAAGCCAAAAGAGGGAAAACTTACGGCTCTTAGTCAGCCGAGCCCACGCGGCAAACACTTCAGGTTTATTTGGCAAACAGAACATAGAGGAGTCCTACATCATATGGGCTCCAAGGACCCAAGTCTTACAGTAACACCAGTTATTTGCACTTCCCTGGAAATGGTCCCCTGGATGGTGGTGGGGAGGGGACGTATCGGACTGCTGCTCAGCAGGGGAAGGGTATTAGACATGGCAAGCCCACTTGCTGCATTACAAGGGAAGAGTGGTGAAGGTCCCTAACACCATGGCTGCTTAGCCACACAGTGAAAATTTCACCTGTATGCTGCTGCACCGTTTACGTGGGTTCTGCATCAAACAGACAGCCTTCTGGAGAGAAATAATAATTTAAAGCACTAATAGTACATTTCACCTAGAAACGATCCACCTGTATTCATTACACTCACCTGTAATGAATACGGAGATTTCCACAGAACACAGGGCAAGTTCAAATGGCAATGGGCAGCTGGAGGCCTCCCCTGAAAGGCATCTTCTGTCACACAAGCTACTGCACAGCAGCTAGAGGGAAGTGGGAGCTGGTTAACTCGTATCTGTTAACTGAAAGCTGAATGTAGTAGAAATTCCATCAGTACCATAGGAAGAAGCAGTCTGAAATTTTCAGCAGATACGAGACCAAGGCATACTGTCTTAAAATAATTTAAAAATATTGAAATCAGAGTTTTACTGGGATTACCACCGCTTCCACTTTACAATGTAGTATTTTGAGATGGTTTTAGGATGCAATCTTTGCATCAGTTTTGGCTAAGAAAATGATCTGAAACTTCTGAAAGAGACCCATAAACAGAGATTGAATAAAAACACTTTTAAAGTATTCACATGCAGCTTTGTCATGCAAATCAAAGGAGGCCTATTTTTAGGTCTCATTCCACAATCAAAAAAATAACACATCATTTCTTTTCCTTCAGAAGTCCTTCCAGTTCTGAGGGAGGAAAACATCTCCCCAGGAGTCTCAGGGAAAAGACATACACAGGTAAGGGAAAAGCTCAGATGAACTGCAGTGTGGTATTTTGGCTCAAAATTAACGGCTATCTGGACAGAGATACATGGATATGTTTGAACATGATCAAAGATGAATCAAGAAGATGATACCAAAGGCACGATGTTGCTATTTGGGAAGATGCAGCTCCTAGCTCTTGCTCCAGGGCAACTGCTTTTAAGGTACAGCCCCCCTCACTCTTACAGGATAAAGCCAACAGGCACTGGACAACCCCAAGACAGGCAAGAAGATGCTCAGTGGAGCGGCACAGTCAAATCAAAACATTCAGTCCGATCTTGTATGACCAAAGACTGTCCACAGAAAACACTACAGCAAAGATTGCGAGAAAACTGCTGTATGGTTCTTGGTTGCATGCTAAATAGTTACTCACTTTTGAGACCCATTTCCACTTTTATCAACTTTTCTGTGCTACTTTGCTAGTTCCGCACTTTTGATGCTTTCTTAGAACCAGCTGGGATACCCAAAAGGGTTTTATAAGGTTATCTTCTTTTTATTATTCAGTCTGTTTTGGTTGCACTGTATGTGGGCGAGTGAATAATTTGGGGGAAAAAGAGGGAGGTCAAAAGGTTGCATGCAATTGATTCCAACTGGACACTGCTGTAATACCAAAATATTTATCCTCACTTAAGTCTGTTGGACACCCTTACACCAACTCTATTTACTCGTCTTTGTGGCATCCAGCTGTTGGACTTAATAATTTCCTTGATTTCTGTACAAGGATCTCAATAATAATTACCTCTTTCATTGAAAGCCTAGCAAAGTGAGCACTTTTTCAGATTTCAGTATTTTGCACCCCTCCAATTTCTGTCTGCATTAGTTTTGTCTGTTTTGATTTGGGATTTGGAATTACTTTCCTCTAAAATTAGCAGAATTAAATTCTGTGATAATTACAGGTTTTGTTTCCTTATTAGGGATAACTGGAGATCAAGCTGCAGCAGATGGTAACCCTGCTGGAGAAAGTAAAAAAAGGTCTTCCAAATAATTTGGAATTGTCCAATTATATCACAGTTTATGGAGACAGGGATATTATCAGCTACTCAAATGAAAACTCATGATCTATGCTAATTATTGCTTTTTTATTTCTTTCTTTTGTGGCAATATTAAAGAAGAACAGTGAGAACGTTAACACAGAAGAAATGGTGATAACACACAGAAAGTCTTTCTTGTTTAGAAGAGGGCAAACAAATTCAATTTAAAGTATATATGACAATCCTAAGAGGTTAAAAGGACCTTCCAGGGTTATAGCAGTATTAGTTTAATTATTATAGAATTTTTCTAAAAGTATTTTACACTGATAAATACATCCCACTGATTATAGTATCTTGGAACAGGTGGTAAGCAGCTTTTAGTTTGTTGGTAACTCATGTAAATCTACAAATGCACATAGTAAGAGTTCATCTTCATTTGCTTACCTGCAGGTATTAACAATGGTTTTATTAGAATGACTTTTTTTTTTAAATTAGTACACAACCCAGGGTTACTTAAAAAACTTAACGGGTATTGCAATTAGAGGAACAGGCTTTAGAAGTACAGTAGTACTTAACAGAAAAAAGGAATGCAACTTTTCCAGAAAAGGAAGCCTTAGAAGACTGCTTTACATATTTGACTTCTTAAAGTGGGCAGTCAGTAAACAGCTTTGTGAGAAAATAAACAGAACTTTAAAACCTTTAGGAAATTAAGTCCTTTCTCCTACAAAGGATGAGATTCAATAGACAATACTGGAAATAGATTAATCTATGAGGAACTTTGTACTCATCTTTTAGGTAAATTTTGGTGGCAGTTGAAAAGCAAAATTTCTCAAGGATAAGAAACAATGAGAAATAAAATATGGTCTTACTTTTTAAAAGGTGAGTGTAATCTCACTGTTTTGCTGTCCTAATTCTAAATTGTGTGTGCCCAGCATAAATAGGGACAAACTAAAGAATATTTAGAAGTGTAACTATTGCTAGTAAGGATGGCCACGATGCTGTAAGGAGCTGTTACATACACTAGCTGAACATCTTGATATCACTTCACTTGCAAAAGCATGCAAGGATACTGAAGACAGGACTTGTCTCTGTCTTTTACTCTTTCCTCTTTTACTTCATTTCTGGGTCTTGTATGGGAGGTGCGAGAAAAATACGCTTCTAGAAAGCAGAATGTCTCTGATGTTTCTGTAAAAGGCTGGTAGTAAAAGGCTGCAAATAGAAAAAACCCACACGCTGTTTGGCATACTTGAAGTAAATCCCTCTGTCATCTTCTGAAGAAGAAATAATCCTTCTTAAAATTATCATTCTGATTATACCATTAGCTTCTTCACTGTTAGCAGTAACTAGTTTATTCAGCAAATACATTCACAGACAATATTTTATGACAGTGCATTATTGCATTTCTTTCTTTTAAGACAGTGATGGTTGGGAAAGTTAATAGAGAGACAGGTGTTCTTTCTGTAGGTACTCTGGACAATTTCAAAGTATTTGAGCTGTGTTAACTAAGGGAGATCGCCAGACCGAGATCGCTGGATACAAAATCTCTTTAAAAAAGCACTTTTAAAAATTCATTTCACACCGAATACCGTGTTAAAAAAAGCGTACATTTTATTTTAAGGGAAGTAACCAAGTATCAGATGTATGATAGCCAATTTTACAGAAGCTCTTGTATTTGCAAGCTAAAAATTAAATGCAAATGTTTCATATTTCACTTGTTCCTTTCTTATGTTCTCCAAGTGCATAAATGCCGGTACAAAGAGTAAATTCCTTCATTTTACTAGGAAAGAGACATTATGCTGTAAAGTTTTATATTGAAGGCAAATGCTTATTTTACATTTCAGTTACCCAGAAGAAAATTTTATGATCTCCTCCGACTGCACATAATGGAAGAGTTCTATGCCACGTCAAACCAGATCCTACAGCTGCAGTGCCAGTAAGAATGGGCTTCAAAGAAAAAACAAAAAGAGAGAAATATCAATACCACTTACCATACAAATGATTACTAGACCACATATCCCAAGTTGCATAGACAAATAAACACGATAGATTTAGTACTCCTTAATAAATACAGTTAAAATACAACAGAAATCCAACTGAAAAAATCTGATTATCTGCTACTTAGTTCCAGTAGCTACTTACTACATTTATATCCCATGATAACAAATTGTTTCAACTATTTTTGCTATTATTAATACTATTATTATTTTAAAGGCATACTTTCAAACTTAGAAACCTTTTTAATTAAATTACTTCCTGTTATTTAAGTGTACTCACAACTAGTATGTTTGGAGGTAATATTTTTACTGTAAGAGTTATGAATGTATACTAACTCCAGCAAAACCATAATATTTCTTACACTTTACATTCATTGTCTCTGGATATATTTTCACTAATGATTTAAAATATAATTAGTTCACACCTGTAAAATACATAAGCAGCTGGTTTTAGCCTCTTTAGAATTAGAAATACTGAAAAATTTATTAAATAACAGTTTAAATGTGTTTTTCTTCCCCTTAGCACCAATAAGGCAAAGCAAAATAAAACACATAGATCATGCCGCATTTTATATAGCAGGTTAAGTGTGGTGTGATTTTTTCTTTTCCTTAGCATGGATGACACAAAATAAAATAAAATAGGTAGACCAAGCAGCATTTCTGGATTGTTTGGGCTAGTTTTTAATTGTAGCTTTTAGCTATTTATGAGCCTGATTTGAAGAAAACAGATGCAATTCCATTCAAAAGCTGAACTCAGAAATTTACCTGGGGATGTCCTAAATGATGAACAAGCAGTTGAGTAGTTGTCTTTCCTGGATATCCAGTGGTTGCAAACAGATTTTCATTCACTCGGGACCACCTATGAATAAAATGAACATACTTTTCAAATATCCCTATCTGACTATCAGAAGTGCAGTACACACAAAAAAACCCCAACCTTGTGGTTAAGTGTGTGAAGCTGTCAGATATTCTACTAACACCAGAGAAATAAATTCAGAGAAATGGCTTGTAAATGACTCATGACCCACAGCCCCGTATGCATGTCATTGTAAAACAGAAAAAAATCATGGGAACGTTACACACATATACTAAATGTAGGTCATTCACAAATTTCACAAACTTTATAGACCAAGTCCCCCTAAAAATTATTTAAGTGAGACACAGTCAGGTCCCTAAACTCACAACTGCTTGCATATACATAGACTTACAGAGACAAACCCCACAGAATACAGACAACACTTGTACCTGAATAATCTGGCTCGATCAACATGGACAGGTCTCTTATCCTGTGGATAACTAAAACAGACATTCAGGGTAAAAAACTGTTCTGCAAACAATTACAGCTCATACAGTTAAGTACCAAAAGCATGTATCATTTAAACAGTGGAGGGGACACATTGTCTACTCTCTGTGAAGAAGCCGAGAAAAAAAACCACAGCACTCCTACAGCTTACATCTCAATTTGGAGTAGGAAAACTGTAGTAGTTATCCAGTTTATTATGGTTCAATAATTATGTATTTATGACTTAGAATGAAATTTTAACAAACACATAGATCTTACAGCAAGAGGTAAACAGTAGTGAGGTGCTATCTCAAATGGACAAAAAGACAGACGTTTTTAATAGATAAATATTGATAGATAAAGATGAAAAAGAATGCCAGGGAATGATCTGTATTGGTTTCATAACTCCCGATGAACGTTCATTTATTTACTGAACAGGTGATATAATACATAGTGCATTTAAGTGCTATATTAGCAAAGCAGCCACATCTCTTCATGCACTGCTTAAGAAGAAAATAAAGAAACCTGTCTTGTGCATAAAAGTACCTGGAGCGAGCAATATCCCAGATTAGCCATTCACTTCCAGCAACTGCTCCAATTTTAAGAGTATTTTTTAAACACCAGTCTGCTGACATCAGCGGCGATTGTTCACACTCTAGGGAGAGAATGGCCTGCTGTGTAATTAGATCATAGAATCTTATTGTTCCATTCTTCTCTGCTACCATCAGCTGTTAAGAGAAATTAACAGAACATTGTAACCTTAGCATGTAATCATAGAATCACAGAATCATAGAATGTTTTGGGTTGGAAGGGACCTTTAGAGGTCATCTGGTCCTGCAGTGACCAGGGACACCTTTAACAAGATCAGGTTGCTCAGAGCCCATCCAACCTGGCCTGCAATGTTTCCAGGAATAGGGTTTCCACTCCCTCTCTGGGCAACTCTTGCTTCATCCTGTAACAGTTTGCCACAGATTTTTATCTAAACTTCTTCTGTTAAAGCAATATATTCAAGTAGTTGTTCATTAAGTATTGTAGAAAGAGCTTTCTGATTAAATGAGCTTTTCTCCATGAGGAGATGATGGTTCTCAGATAGCCATGAACAATAATTAAGGAAGGCAAAGCAGCCTGGAAAAGGAGCTGTCACTAAAACACGCTCTTCTGCAAACTAAAGGACATGGTGCAGGAAGCATTTTGACCTGCAATAAGCTTTTCAGCAACCATCAGTCTGTCAAATTTTACTAGCTTTTTGAAGGGTTGTTTTCCTTAACAAAAAAAAAAAAAAAAAAAAAAAAAAAATCTTGTGCTTACTCTTTGATAAGGGTCAAGGAAAGACAAGCTAACATGTAAGATTGGTGTAATATTGCAGTATTTTGGGGCTAATCTAGTAATTTTGTTGTGCTAAAGCTGCCCAGTAGCAAAGAGTAACAAACGGATTCAATTGTGATACCACCTGAATCAACAGTTTTCCTAGTTTTCTTAGTAAGGACCGGATATTGATATTGGTGGAAAGTGTGGCGAGAATACAGATCCTTCTTCCCTATTGCTATGTAAATATTTTGATACCTTATTTGACTGCTCTTCTCTAAATGTGTGTTTTTGTGGCAATCTGAACAACTATTTGTAGCTGCTTAAGGCAGTTATTAATTGACACAACAGGAAAATAAATCCAAGATTGCAAGGACTAGACCATTAATGACGCTGAATATTTTGGTATATATCAGCTGATTAATCCTCCCCAGTACAATAAACAGATAAGTATAAAATCACAGTTTATTGATTTTTTTTTGATTTTTCAGCACATATTTAATATATTCCAAGCAAGAACAACAACAAAAAAATCCCTTGCTAACTTCAAACAGATCCTTTTCAAAACTTGGCATGCTTTGTAAGAGTCTATGTTATTGGTGAACCGTGTTACCACGACTGAGAAAAACTTGAACTCTTCTCTGGTAACAGTAAGTTAATATGCAATCAGCAGAATAGTTATCAACAACAACTGATGTATGTAATCAAGAAGGAATATTTCTGATGGGAGGAGTGTGGGACTGATGGTAAAATGACAAGAATGAGAATTCATTTACAGTGACTTCACAGTAGCAGATCCAACCAATATCCAGTTACAATGTACACTAGCTCCCCAAACTTCAATCTTGCTACAGCATCAAAGATTCATAGTTTAGATAAGTCCACCCTCCTGTTATTTTAAAGGGGGTGAGGGTGAAGAGCTGGAAAACTCAACCTTAAAAGCCTCTTCAGGATGCCAACAAACACTCATTCCAGGAGAACGTAGAACAAAATGGGCCTTCTCATTTCCTTCCAAATCCCAGACCCTAAAGCAAAAAAACCCCAAAAACCAACAAAGTATTAAACTACTTATTGCCATTTGACTGCAAATACAGTAATGTTCAGTGCCTCAATACATTCATAAAGGAAATGACCAAAGGAAATAGTGTTCGTGCTTTATCACTTCAAGAAGTCAGTAAAAGTGGACATTGCTGAAGATAGTGTATTTTAACATTGACAAACTAGGCATAAAGGGCTTGCCCTCTGTTTAAAAGGGCAATGTCCAAATAATTTGACAAGTTTAATGGTCTACACATGAAATCTAGATGATACATTCCCACTTTATTCATAAGTCAACACTACAGCCTTTGTACTATACCATAAATAACAGCGAGACAATACAAAGCAGGAAGGTCAATGTTGGTCTAGCTGATACAAGCAACCTAGAGGAAGTACCAAGCAGCTTAAATCATCACCATGTAAAGGATAAGACCATGCACTAAAGTATTTTGCTTGCCTAATATATAAATTTACACTTTCTCCTGGTAAGACAAGGCTGAATGATAGAAATATAAGAAACTAAAAACAAAGCTAAGGCAAACAAAAGTATCTATGGCAGAGGTAGCACTAGCCCACAAAGGGTCTTGGCAAGATTTCCACAAATAAATCACGTATGCCAGTTTAATAATTTCCTTTATAAGCACCTGCAGTACCTATCAAGCAGTTACAAAAAAAAAAATAATTAAAAAAATCAACAATATTTGGTCAATATGGATTGACAGGGAAGTGTATGCTGAAACACCAAAACTAGGTTAAGGTGATGAGTGAGTTTTCTTTGGATGCATTCAATATGAGTGTCGATGAGCCATGAAGCTACTTGGTTTAATAAAATGCAACAAAACCAAAACTGGGACTATGTTACCTCAGAGCCACTGCTGAATTGCCTCTTTTCCTACAAAATCAGTAGCTCAGTTGTAGGACAAAGACATCACAGTTGTGAACATCAGTCTGAACCACAAGGCTGCATACTATTTATATGCATTTTCACACTCAAACATACATATATATCCTTCCTCCTTGACAAGCAAAACCTTAGAAACAGTCAATCTTTTAAGTAGTGTTCTGCCCAGTCTTTTGAGTTAGATGAGTGGCTACATACTATTATTGTTTATTCTTGAGGATTTTTGCTGACTTCCTCCAGACTTTTTCAGTTTATATCTCACCAGGGTGCTTAGAGCCTTATATTTAAGAGATTTCAAAAAACTCTTAAATAATACATCATAAGTCTAGACAAAATATATGGGAATAAAGTAAATATATTTAATGAACAATGTTGTTTTCTTATGCCAAACCACAACAGATCAAATATTTGTTTTCCCCGTAGAAAACACAGGGTCTCTAATCTTGAAGGATCAGTGTCCTTATTAAAAAAGTCAAAACAAAAACCTGACAACCGTTTAAAAAATGAAATATCTGCTTGATTAGGTAATTTAGAAACATACAATACTTTCTTCTACTGCCAAAAAATTTTGCCTTGTAGATTTGTCCAAGTCAAATCAACACTTTCCATGTGTATTTACTGTGCAGGGAGAAAATTATGATATAACAGAAGACGGTGAATCATTTTGGCCAAAGGAGTATGCCATCATGTTTCCTTCCCTGAAGTGAGTGAGGTTATTAGGTGTTGAGACAGAAATTTATGCTGTCTAACTCCCCAACTTTGTTATTTATAAAATGCCAAACTTGTATATCTTACTTTGTAAGAATGGTAAGATTGTTAGTAACAAACAGTATTGAAAGGAGGAAAAAAAGGATAAATGTCCCTCTTGTATTTTTTCCTTTCTTTATTGATAACAAAGATGGTATCATTTAGTTTTGAAAAAAAAAAAAACAAAAACCAAACCCAAAAACCCAAACAACAAACCAGGCAGTACATATCAAAATAGATCCTTGTCTGAATGCATCAAGTCTATGCTGGTATGGAAGTTTACAATTACATATGTGTTCAATTAACTCTTTTCAGTATTTCTTTGTGACTAACCCAAGCAAAAAATGTGCAAAGACCAAAAATTTAGCCAAACTGAATTTCAGTTACTCAATTACTCAGTAATCATAACCAAATCAGCTACAGATGGCTAAAAAAACCCTCTAGTTTTGTCCACATTCCTATCATGTAAATCAATCCAAAAAGTCTAGGCATTTTGTTTCTCCTTCAAAGCCCTTGAAACTTTACTAACATTACCATGATTTTATACCAAAGCAAACTAGTGTCTACTTTTCTCCAAACATCCTTATTTTTTGTAACCCTGCAATGTGTCACGCTCTTACTTCTCCTCCTTCCACTAACTATTGTTGTATAGATTTGTTATTGGGCTTGTGGCATTTTTTTGATATTTAAAAAAGCTTCCACAATAAATTTAAAGGAGAAAAGTTTGAATAAGCACAATTGAAATAAGGGCCAAAGTTTGAATAACGGAAAGCCTCAAAAATAATATGTAATCTGCTCAGTAAATTCATTGTTTTTAAGTGACTACGGACTGAAAAATTATATGCTGCACTGCTCACAAAATTTAAACGAACACAAAATACAGATACTTGCAAATACTGTTAAAGACAATTTTTGAGGTATTTCTCTTGTCACTTTGAGACATTTCTCCTGTCACTCACATCCTATGATTAAACAAACAAATGACAACTGCAGTTATCTCAAAGCGCGAAGATATTCAAACTATGTTGGAACAACTATATTGTATGTCATATGCATGAATATGCATAATGAGATGCTGCATATGTGCAGTAATTTTATCAATGGACTTTTATTAAAGTTGGCAAAGTATTCATTAGAACATCTGAAAATCTGCCCTGTGGCAATGAAGATGATCTTTATTTTATATTCTAACTTTCTGATTTCTGAACAATTCTAGCTAGAGAGCAAACCCAAATCCTAACTGAATAAAAACCATCATTTGCAGAAGTAAAAGAACAAAACCACATTGCAACCTTCAGGCATTTCTCAAATTCCCAGAGGATGGAAGTAAAAATGGGAATTCTTTCAACATAAGATTTCCAACATTTTAGTGAGTGGGGTAGGGGCTAGAACAAACCTTGACATCTGATACCATTCCCAACCACAAAGCATATACTTGAACCGTTACTCACAGATTACTGTCTGACCTACTCTTAAAAATGCCCAATATGTTTGTGCTTTTTTTTAACAGTATCTAACTTAAGTACCACTTGCTGATGTTTCTTTGTATCTCCATCAGACATATTCCACATGTGAGGCATATCCTATCACCCCGGAAAGGCCTAGAGGGTGATGGAGAAGGAAGTGATTCCTGTTAGAGAGATCACACAACAAAGATAAAGAGTTCACTGAGCACATGAGTGAGGAGAGGAAGATCTCAGAAAAGGAAAACGGAAGTGCAGAGATTAGTTAACACTGTGGGAGAACACAACCAACACTGTCCCTGTCTCATGTCTTCTGCCAACTCCATATGGAGGTGGTTATCAAAGATCTGAAGAGGATATGAGGTAGGACATGAAAGAACAGAAGGCTGAAGTGGAACTGTAGCTGTTCAGAAGAAGAGAAAGGTGTGATATTAAAGATAATTTCTAGTAATTTATTTTATTTTACTGACAAAGTGAAGAATTTGAGTTTTTATAAATCAGGTAATGCACTGCCCAACTAACAGTTCACTGCTGCAGAATCTGTAGGATTAGGTAGCGTAACACTCTATTCAGCATGCTGTGCAAAACAAGCCACAAAAATGGTTGCATGGGGAGAAAAGGGAAGTTCATCTGTGCTGCCTAGCACTAGTCCACCAGGCACAGCCACCTTAAACTATCTCCTGACTCAGCATACAGGTTCCTAAATTTGTGCCTGTAGAGCATTTCCTTCACTTGTTTTTGAGCCATGAAATAAAAGGCTTCTCATAGAGTAAATGTGTAAATACTCTTTCAGAAAGTTGACCCACGTTCACCATTTTATTTTGGTGGTCAAAGGAAATGTCAATATTATTAAAGAATTAGTAATTAGAATATTTCAGATTTTGGCATTAAAACCCATGTTACCTCTAGTGTCTTGTAATATCTACTTGGATATGCAAGCACTGATCTATTTTTCACTGGTAACTGTGGGATGTAATTCTGATTATCCCCTGCAATTTTAGTAGGAGAAGCAGGGAGCTGCACATGAACTATCTCAACTGATTATTCTTTGCTAATATGTATTTTCAGAACTCAGAAATAAGTTCAAGAAATACACACTACTACTACTACTCCTCAAATACCCTTAAGGTTATCTAAAGTAAAGCCAGAGACTAAGCAGTACTTTTGCAAAAATGCAAAGCTTCAGTTGTATCCTTTCAACCAAAGTAAAATTAGCTGTTAAGGTTATCAGCTTATTGTTTCCAATGTAGACAAAACTACTGACTGTTACTGAGAAACTCAATTACAATTTTGCCAGTAAGTTTCTGAAATACAAGGTGACCGCTAAACAAATCTAAAGCAATGATTTCTATTTAGAACAATTTATAGGCAAGGCTATGGTCTAGGACTGTGTGACGCTTAACATAAATCACAGAATGCATCACACAGGAAATAGCTACCATTTCATCTGCATATTTTGAAGACTTCCTAACTAAAGGCTTATTCATCCACACTTAAGACCAGACTGAAGTAACGTTCCAAACATTTGATTCGGAAAGTGATTTTTTTTTTTTTTTTTTTTTTTAAGCTGACTGGATACTGTAACAGGAAACCAGTTAATACTCGCATAGTGATTGTGAAGTACAACAGAAGTTGTTGGTTAATACTTGCATCATGGCAGTAAAGTATAACAGAAATTGAGTAAGACTACATTTGGGGGACATACAGGGATACATACAAAAAGTGTGCAACGTCAAAGACTAGGCTCTTAAAAATAATCCACGACTCTCCTTTATTTTCATAAGTTATAATGCATAACTAGCTTGATAATTGTAATCAGCATACCTCAGAAAGGTGAAATATTTGGGTATGACATTTCTTATATGAAGATACACCGGGGAATTCTATCACAACAAACAGGTGAAGATAGAACAACATGAAATAAGATACCTTTTTTTAAAATTTTGGCAAAAATCCCTAATTGAGTGCACTAGGATTGGGAAGATACAAATAAAATACAATTTTGAAGGCAGGAATAAGTGATAATGGCAACTTTTCAGTATAGCCAAAGCCTGAAATATTTAGTGAATTAACAAGACTCAAGTGCAACAGTGCTGGCAACACATTAAAGAACACAAGACAAAAAAACTAAACAAGAGCTACCATGGACTTTCCTTCACATTGTGCAGAGAAAGACCTACACAAAATAACTAAGACATAAGAGTACCATGTAAACAAATACATTACAGATTAAAAAAAAATAAAACCAGACAAAACACTACAATAAATTTTGAGACTCCAGTTAATTTAGTTTCCAGTGATATCAAACCTTTCCCCTGAATCTCTGTCCAGGGAGCAAAACTAACTTTCTGATGGACTGGCATTTGTGGTATGTGCAACAGAGAAGGCTGAACTTGACAGTGACTGATAAATAAATTCACAAAGTCCTTCTCTATAAAGCAACATGAGCCATGGTGTAAGTAACTGCACAGAACTCAGAAAGGAATCCAAGGGCAAGTACATTCACAGATAAAGTAGAAGCTAAATCAGCTGTACACTCTTCTCCATTACACACACAAAAAGAGAAGATGATCATGTAGTTTAAGGAATAATTAAAAAAAGAAAAAGAGAGAGGGAGGGAGAGACAGGGATGGATGAGTCTTTTTCAGCTTTTTAAAATACAAGCCAATCCAGCACTTGATGACCATAAGAAATTGCCATACTGCCATTATTAAGGGCCTAACACCATAGTAATCTTTCAGTTCAATATGGGGATGGAATATGAGGTGGTTATCAATCAGACTGAATTAACCTTTTAACAGTCAGAGGTTAATTTTTAGCATGCATATGAGACTGGTGGGTTTTACCAGGTCAGTATTTTGCATTAAATACTTCAAGAAACATCAGATAGTGTCAAAAACTACCAACAGCGGAAGGATGCCTGTTAAGCTCGTGCTGCTTTCCAGACATTTCCTATGTTCTTTCTGCAGAGGCTTCATTAAGTATCAGAACAAAACGATTTGTACCTCTGAATCCCTGCAGCCTCCTATATCATTTCCAAATCATAATGAAAAAGCCAGCAGTGGTTTTTTTTGGTGCACAGGGACTTGCCCACACAGTTCTCATTAGCAAAGTGGGATGCACATGTTCCTACACATAGTGCAAATGTTCAAAGAAGTGTATAGTGCTTTATAATTCTAAGGAATAAAATTAAATATTCCTTAAAGCAATCACAAAACATTTTTTCTCATTCATTAAACATGCTCTTATGATACCAAGAAATGGACAAGCCAATTACTTTAACCACACATAAATATTATATAGAATTTTGAAACTGACATATGAAAGGTAGATCACGAAGAAAAAACAACTAGATTTGAAGGAAAACAATTTGATTAAATCCAAGAAGTAATTTACTTTTCTGTCATGACCAAGTCTGGCTTTCAGCAGAAATGTATAAATTTTTTAATGTATATACAAGATATTAATTTTTACTTCAGTTATACTCAATATGTTAACACACCACTTATAAATACAACATAAATGGCTACTGCAATTATTTTTATGCAAGAGTATTTTTAATTCAGTTCTACTTCACAACTGCAAAAAAGTCTTGTGTTGTGAGACAGACTATGTGCAAGAAACAACAATAATTCCTGAATGACACAGCAGCAATTTAAAGGTTAAGAACATTGAATATAGCACCACAGCCTCTTCAGTCAGTGAGTCTGACTTACACTGTCTGTCTTCCAACCAGAACGACTGAACCGAGCTCTGAGATTGCACTGTTGCAGCAGCTTGTGGCAAGATTTTTTAGTGCATGAAAACTGAAAATTTGGGTTCCTAAGAGATCTCTGCTAAACTGACCACTGAGTGAAAACCAGGGAAGATCTAAACATGTTTGTATATATTCTGTACATACTGCGACGTTGTATTAAGACATTATTAAGATTTAAAAGTGGAAATGTAACAGAACAATACTCAAAACTTCATGTTCTTGTACTAATTGTTCTAGAGCTTTATTCCAAAAGTATTAACAGATGATGTATCCTGAGAACAATTTCAGGATAGAAACTCAGTACAGACAGAAGAATTATTCCTCTTCTTACATTACTGCTGAAGCAAATTACACAGTAAGTAAGGAATGATTTTGGTAAGTCTCAGGGAATGCATTTTCCATTAGTTTTGAAAGTGTAACCTTTAAATTCAATAAAAAAAGTCTTCATGCTCCACATGCATGAATGGAAAAAATAAGAACTCAAGTAGCCAAAAAAAATGCGACTTATTTCCCATGGCTTTTAACCAAAGACTTTATGGTTTGCTGCATAAAATGTCTTTCAGAGTTACTAAGTTGAAATCTTGATAGTATACATTAATTATATATTTTTTATTTCCTTTTAATTCAGTATCAATTAGACTACTGCTTTTAAACCATTTCTCTTTCATCCCAGGAACACTGGGCATTTCATAAAATAAACAAAAAAAAGGCCACACATTCGAACAGCTCTTTGCTGAATAAGCCCAATATTAGTTTAGATTTAATGAAGAAATCAAGGATAGGAAATAAATCAGAACAAGCTATGAGTAAGTCATGCATTTCTACTATTCATTCCTAATGATTTTATTGGGAATATGGACAGGGCATCTACGGAAAATCAGCCTAGTGGTCAAAGTAGTATTTCTGAGTTCCCTAGGGGTGTTAAAATCACAGGCCTTTTAGCTTTTCAATTTATGTGGAATAGAGTAGCTTGACTAAAGCTACGTAACTGTGATTTATACCAGTGGATATATTACAAAATCTCATACACAAAGTAATAATTCTAAGAGATATTCCCTTCTCTCTTAGCAGGTAGAAGATAGCTTAAATGAAAAATGGCTTTTTACCCCCCTGAGTACTACCTGGTCATTTATATAGGAATTGCTATGGTGGTAACTTCAAAGAGCAAATATGTAATTCATATAAACAGAGAAAAAACTAAAACAGTTCCTTAACTGGAACAAGTTTTGAACTATCACAGCTATTATAAAGAGAAGTCAAAGATGATGCTTTCTCAAGTCTCTTGCTGCTATTGCAATGACTTGCAAAGCCTGCATAGTTGCCCTCCTGATCTCTCCAACTGTGAGCTGCATTGGAGAGGTAAGAATAGCAGCTTTATAGATTCAGGTGCACTACTAGAAGAGGAGGATTGGGAACCTTTTGACAAGAAAAACCTCCTGTCCTACAAAACCTTAACCAGCATTTTTCAAAGTATTTAACCATGTTTCCCTTTTACTTCCAGTTACAAATAACTAAATACATGCGCTTGAAGCACCTATAATAATGGTATTATGAGCTGCCAGTACCACTGTATTAGTATGGTATTAGTACAATACTGTCCTTAGGCTATGTAATCCCACCTCCTAGTAAGGCTAATAAATTTTGGTAAGCAGACAACTTTCAGATACATACACTGGTCTTAAACTTGACTCATCTGATGACAGAATGGATAGGAAGGGTCTGTTCAGTGCTGAGTTATGAATGTATTCTCTCTCCTATTCTCATGCCTTTTATTCCAGTCCCAGCAGGGGAAATTATAGTGTATGTAATTCCAAGACAGAACAGTTTTCTTCACAATGTATCTAATTAGTTCAAAATGTTGCTTTGAAAAAAAACAACCCACAAGTCACAATAAAAAGCCAGTCCACAACCTACTTAACACAACTAATCCACTTGTCTTGTCAGTGGACTAGTCTTGTTAGTGGGCTATGAAGGCCCACTAAAAATAAATAAATAAATACTTATTTATTTAAGCAAGCATACAAAACATACATGCACAGAAAAAGCCAAATACTACTATTTCTGTAATGTTTTGAACAAAACGCATACCTGCAGGTGTGATCATCACTTACACTTGCAACTTCTTGACCTTCTTTAGGAGCAAACACCAGATCATTAATGTAATCTGTGTGGCCATCAAATGTCTGTCAATCAGAAAAAAGAAACACTTTTACCTTAGAATTGACTGTTCCATCAATTCATAATATATTTAATAGATCCACTAAAGGAAAGATGTGTGAGTGTTAAGATAAAGCTATCATTTTACATGGAAGGTAAAAAGAGTATTTATCAGTAACTGGAGTTTTTTAAAATATCTAACTCATGTAGATTCATACTGTAGGTGGAAAGACCCTCCCACACTATTCCTTACAGTTGCTAGAGGTCAGCTTGACAGACATCAGTGAATTGCACCAGAACTATTTATCTTCCTTTCAACCACTGAATTTTGAAGGTAGAAGATAATAAAGTCTCAGGAAGAGGAGAATGAGCAGGACGTGAATATATGCGTGATCTACATATCTTAAAGAACTCTGATTACTGGTAAGTAACTCTTATCTCTGAATAACAGTTTTTACTAGGCGTTCCTGTAAGCAACAAGAGGTTTTTTCCCCGAAGGAGCAATAAACCAGCCACTTTGTCCAGTATATGCCCTTTTCTAAGCAGTCAGCACACAAATTGCCTAAGAGGATACATCCACTAAAGATGGCAGACCAAAAGGCTACCTTTAGAAAAAACAGTGAAAAAACTCTCAGTGAAATAAGATGAAACAGAAGACAACGCACACTAAAGACTTTAAGAAAACCAAAAATGAGGAACAACAGTACAAGCAAAACCAAGCAAGCCATACACCACCTTAGGAATTGAGCACAATTACTGTTAAGCATTTGAGAAGAATAGACACAGTGCTTTGTGCTCTCTGCTTTATATGCTGTTATGCTGAACAGGAAAGAAAATGGGATATAGTGCACACTCTTCTTTTACTGTGAATTAATAGATCATCCATTCTCAAATAACAGGATACGAGCACTCATGGTGTGAATGTACATGTGAACTGTCACTCAAAAGCAAACACAGTTGTACCAGAAAGCATGAAATTATTTCAAATGGAACCTTATTACTGTGTAATCGTTCTCGCCTGAAGCTTCTTAATCATGACATTTTTATTTCAAAGTACTGAGAACAATTTATCTATAATAAAAAACAACTTAGCGGCATAGCTTTTCTGAATAAAAGTAAAATCCCAGTTTTAGTATAAATTAAGAGTCAGGTAACGTTTATGTATTTCTAAAGCTTTTCAGCGCTCTTGGCCATAATATCAAGACATTTTTTTTTTCCTCAATTCTATTAAGCATTTTGTACTTATCTGCAGACATCAGTAATCTTTTGAGGTTTACAGTATCCTCAAAAACCTAAGTGAAAGAATTTATACACATTTAGCATTAAGCAAGCATGCAAAAGTCATCTCATTTAGGGTCCAGTCAAAGTTTAAAGTACATTAAAATTCATTCACATGGGGGCTAGGTATGAATAAATCATCTCTGGTCTCATTAGAAAATCTGTAGCTAGTTATTATATCAGTTTGCTCCACCTGAGGATTTACATGTATTTTCTCCAATTAACTATATCTATGGTCTTTTTGACAGAAATCTCACTTAAAATTTTAAGTCAGGCAAATGTTCATGTGTAGATGTTCTATCTGTTACTGTTCCCTCCTTTTCAGTCCCACTGATTTAAGTCTCAAGGCAACTGATCTTGTTTTGCCCAGCAAGGTACCATAAAAAGGAGATGAAAACATCCTCTGGATAATAGCATGGCATGGAGAAATTGCAGAGGAAAACAAAGTCAAATGAAAACAACCAGTTCCACAGTTTTCTGAAAGTAAAACACCCTCTCTGTTCTCTAAGTGTAGCTATTCTGAGGAACAAATGCAGAACTGATAAAATTCAAAAAAAATCTCAAGCATGCACAATAACTAAATTTCCCTCTCTAAAAATTTTATGAATGCTTCATCAATTCAATACAGAAACATTTCAGCAGCCAACTTAATTTTTTCCAATGGCTCATAATTTTATTAAAACCTAGTGGAACTAGATTTTAATTAGTTAGAACTAATACATCCGAAGATGACGCTGAACTATTTAGACAGAAATGCCAAGTCTTTTGAAAATTTTCGGCATTCTGAACTCACATATCCTGCCTCATTTTACTTCCACAGTTCTGATGAAATATGCTTTTTATTAAACAAAATTTGGAGCAGGAGAAGGAAGCCACAATTCATTTCCAGATGAAAACCTCAGAAGAAGAAAAAGATTTCACGAAGATCCATCAGTCATATTTTACCTTTTGTTTGTTGTTCTGGGCTTGATCCAACCCATAAATTTTGGATTAGTCGTGTTGACAAAGTAATGGAAAACTCAGTATGCTTCAAGTTCCTTGTTGATAATTACATCAAGACAGTTTTTCCACTGGGAAAACAGAGTAAGATTACTCTGTCTATCCCTCCAGAAGCAAACGTACTAATTGTTTACTATAAAAGACAAAATGTTCAAAGATTACATTTTGACTCTAATAACCAATTCCTTCAGCTTTGTTTGCACATTTTGTACCTCTCCTGAAAATCCCATGTGTAAAGTGTGCACTGTACAATGGATCAAAGTCTTCCATGTGTTCTTCATGAGTTCAACCTCAGGTTTATGAAATAGCTTTCCTGACACATCAGCTGACTGTTACTAAGAAACCACTGTATCATACTTTATTGAAAGCCAGCTCAGTGTAGTTGACCGAGTATTCGTGAATACCCAAGATTTTGCAAATACTTTAAATCAGAGTTAGGTGTTACTTTTTTCTTGACAAGAAGCATGTAGTACAATGATCATCCAGGTATAAGAAATTAAGATGATTACCTGGAGAAAGTAATTTCCACACTTTTTGTCAAAAAAACCCAGAAGATAGTCTCAAAGACAACATTTTTATCAACATAAACACACTAGTCCACATTCTTCCTTTTCACTAACGAGTTCCACGCTATTAGATAAAAATACCTATCTTATCTGTTTTCTAATTATTTTTAACATTAACTCCAGTGATGGAGCTGGCATAAACAAAGCTCATAGCTTTACTGTTAAATTCAAGCCAACACTTCTCAGGTGTACCGCAAAAGCACCAAACAATCTTTAGTCTTCTGTAGTGTCAAAAATGAAGCAGCATCCACAATATCTTCAGCTGGCAAAAAATCAGAAATCCTTCTGTTTATACTAGACACTGGAGGAGCTTATTCATATCAACTGGAGTTGAATAATTAAGATATTGTAATTGCTTCTTTCCTTCTGGGGCAAAATAACTTCTATACTTCTAGTGCTTACAGCTGCGGCTGTTCAGTCTAAATACCACATTCTAATGTCCAACACCTGTTGTATTAAGGCTCCGAGGTACTTACTGTACTTAAAAATCATTCTGACATGTTATGCAATGAACATACTTTTGCAGTAGAAGTTTATAACTGCAAGTCAGAGCGTTTTGTGTAGAAAGAAGTCCTAAGGGTGGATAAATCAGTTCTCCAGTGAATCTTTTTGTATGGAAAAATAATTGCTATCTTAATGGAAATGTAAATGTGGCATTTCAAATTTATTTCTAGGCATCCAGTCAAAGCTACTGTGTAATAAATTATCCTAAATTAGAAGTGCATGTTTTAAAGTGTCATTTGTGTTGGTCAGATACCAGAAAAAAAATCTTGTCAGAACTGGGAAATCAATAACCCATCACAGAAATTCTATTCTGAAAAAACAGCACTCAGCAGACTGTGCTACTGAGTTTCCCCCTTTGCTTCTCTGGTTGTAATATAGATCATGCATTGATAATAAGCTAGAAAAGAATAATCTCATTTGCCATATTCAAAATTATTGTTATTTTAAAAGTGTGTTGTTCGTAATCTCATTCTAATTCAGTAATAAACAGCTTACTACAATTCTTCATTAGAATAAACTTGCTTATTTGAACTTCCATGTTAATAGTTTAAGCTCATGAATTATCAAAGGTGTGTTTGTGTGAAGTTACAATACTAATTATTTCTCTGGAAGCAATTAGCTCCTAACAAGCAAAATGGCAGATCCCATTCGTAATTCTTAGTATTAAGTTTGGGCTGTATTCCATACCAATGTGGAGAGTCTGAAAGCTGGTGTAGACAGGAAATCTGCTGTGGAAGGTATAGAACAGTACCTTTGCTAAGGACCAGATGATGTAGGGACAGGAAGAGGCATGAAAATTATGAACTATCACAGTTGTCACATTCAATTTTTGGCAAAAACACACAAAAATGTTATCATTAATTAACCCCCCAAAAATAATTAACAGCTTTCATACTTATTAAACGTGGGAAAAAACACTCATGCGTGGCTTGAAACAGTATCCACTGAAATCAAGAGACTTCTCATTGGATTTTAGCAGACAATCCATTCGGTCCCTTCTTAATCCAAAATAAATTAAAAAAAAAAAAGTAGAATTTACATGCTGAATTTAGCTAAATAGAGCCTGTAGTAGCAGGTTCATCCATGTTTGATTATTTCCACTTATTAACCATCCATCATCTAGACTGTTGTTAATGATTTAATCTGTTTTCTTCTGCATGCTTATGAACATTTCTATATATTTCTCAAATTGCAATAGACATATAATTAATAAGTAACTTTATATTCTGCTAAAAAGTTAAAAGATTGCATTCACAAATTAACATTAAAGCCTGTTGTCTGCAATATCATAAAACTGGCAGATATTATATAAATAGAAAACTTTAATAAGGAATGACAGACATCAACTCACAAGCAAAGAGCATTAAGAACTTTTAGAACTACTTTGTCAGAAGTGCCCCCCAAGTTGACTGTAACTATGTTAGTTATTCCACTGCCTAGGTGACAAATCTGTTTAAGATGACCAAACATGAAAGGAAGAAATTAAGAGAATGTGCATGTATGAAGTAACATAAAAAGTATTTTCTTTAAAGAAAAGGTGTTCTGGTTTTTAGTAATATCCATCTTTACTTCTTATGCCATGCCGTTATTCATTCCATTATCAGTATGGCCACATAAGTGACATCTGCAATTCACTTCGTTTCTGTATGACAAATATCATTGTCTTATTAATACAAATAACCAAACCAGAAATGAAAGTCTATTATTTTCTCCTTTATATTCAATGCACAACTCTGACCAAAAGAGGCATTATCATATTCTAAAGAGCTAAAAAAATGAAGGAACCCTCAATTTTTTAGTATCAATTAGCCTTGCTTACTCTTGGCTGAGACCTCAACAAAACAAATTCAAACTGGTTAGCACAAACACCTAATTAACATTAGTACTTGGATTGGGACATTGTTTGAAAGGCAGAATTTTGAAGAATACATAAACATCCAAGTGACATAGGAGTTGACATGTCTTGCAAACAAAAAAAATATCCAGAAAACCAATCTTCAGCTTATGAAGTGAAGACAGTATTTAGACCTGGCTTTTATATCACCGGTTTAAGAACACTACCATCTACACTGAAAGAAGGAGAAGTGAAATTGTATTTGAAGTAGACGTTTCTTTTGTTTCTATCTTAGAAATAAACAAGTGATAGCCTATGGGCATGTTTAGCATACCTGTCTGCAGTTATGTACCAAATTCAGTATCCTTTCTTTAAATTTTCTACTCTTTGAAAGAGTTGAAATGCAACTTCCAGTTCCCCATGAAAGAGAAATTACTGTATTTGCTTTTCTTATAGAGGAGTCCAATAACCATACCACATAAAATTTTACAGGTATCTATATAAAGGAACCTTATCCAACACGGTTCTTGAAATTCACCTGTAGAACATTCTGTTTGTGAGTCTATTTTAGATGATCCATAAGCCTCTACTTGCTTTTCTTCAACTTGGTTAAATTGTTACATAAATACTTTTCAATCAAAAGATCTTGTAGCTGATAATTACAGTTATTCCCACTTTAAAGACAGAAAGGTATATACAATACAATGATTTTCCATAGAGATGATGGATAGAGGATCTGTCACAGTTCAGTGCTCTGTCCCACACAGTATATTGAGCAAAATGCAGCAGAAGTGCAGTTAAAGACTGGACTTCACTAAAGACTAAACAATTTTTTAAAAATCAGCTTAGCTTCCCTTACCTTAAATTCATTCTTGTCCTGCAGGTCTGAAGTAAATAGCCTTAACTTCCTATCAGAAGCCGCAGTACAAAACCTACACTCAACAGACAAAGAAAAGCCCTTCAGTCAATTAACGCTGCAATAGTTGACTTTTTATCAGTTTCCCTTCAGTTTAACCCCGCAAAGTGACATGCAAAGGAAAATTCAGCTTTTGAAAAAACACCAAAAGCTTCTATCTTAAATTCTACTATGGCAACAAGCAGTTATAATCAGAAAAATTACCTATATTATAGTGTGCATCAAGTGCCAAGAATATGTTTTCATGGAAAGAACCACAAAACATTTTACAAAGCTAAATCTGAATCAACTATCAATTACCTGAAATATCACTCATAACTGCCATTGAAACTTCCCTTGGAAGAAATTAAGTGGCAGAGCACAAAAAAGAATGCTCATTATCAGTGTTTTAAAATACCGAAGCATAAATTCATAAACCAATTTCTAACGTATTTTAAACGAAAGACTGTACAAAAATGCAGCAGTAAGCAACGATCATAACTTTGAAAAGGCTCACAAGCTATTGAGAACATTTTAATTGTTAAGTGTATATTTAATAGTTAACTACCTTTCTAGATTTACACTTCAACAGGTCTTACAAATAGCATCTGACCTACTCCTAAACACAGCCCATACTATCCAGACCATTACAAATAGCTTTGTAAAGCAGGCCATTACAATAGTCTCATCCTTAGTAAAGTTCTTAAAAGAATTCCTTCTTCACAGGTGTACAAAGAAAAAAGTAACTACATTTCAGGTCCATTAAAATAATGAATAAGGGAAAAAATTATTTACTGCTAGTTCACTGGGGGGAGGAGCAAGGGGAACAAGAAGCATAACAAAAAAACCCAAGAAAATAATGACTAAGAATGAAAATGCTGTTCTACTGAAGCGTTCAGAGACTCTGTCAGTGATTTCTAAAGAGTTAGATTTCATCCATAAGCTCTGAACTTTGTCCAATACTAAGGAATTATGGAAAAGAGGTAAGAGACAAGGACTCACTGCACTCATTTATTATAAATACCTTATCTGGGGAGGTAAAGCATCAAGTCTAGTTTCTGGACTCCATGCTATGGCATCAACTCTGATTCCATGATGAAATGTTCTTAGTGTCTTATACTGCACGCATTCCACTTCTGCGTCCTCCTCCTATAGAAATATTGTAGTTAGCTAATCCTGAATAACGTCTTGATAACTTCTAACAACTCAGATTGATAAGAAATTGAAAGGCTTTCAAAATTACATGTATCTGGGATCTTTTTAGATTGTAACAACCTCAAAGTGAAAACCTGGAACATAAAGAAAATATTAACTTGAAGTATGTAAGTACATAAAAATACATGAAGTGATTGCAGTCTCAAGCCAGAGGCCAATGCAGAGCACGAAAACCAGAACTGAGCTACAAAGATGCTGAGCCCATTCTTTGTACAACTAATATCTTCACAGACACAACTACAGCCACTTGTAACAGCATGGTAAGTAAGTACACACAGCAATGAGAAGAAACAACGGGCACAAAAGCAAGCACATAATTTAAGCTATCTTCTCTCCTAGTTGTTTTTACACTATGGAAAAATGCTAGCACTTCCAGAACAACATTCTTCTAACAGCAGGAGCTAGAAAAGGACCCTCTGTCATCTAACAAGACCAAAATTACTAACCTGTCTATTCTTCCCACTGGTGAGCACACTGGATGGTGGGAAAGATGAAAGAAGAATGGGGGCTGTGGACTCAGTCAATCAGTTGACCTCTAAAAGTTTTCAAAACATCTAATGGAGCACCTCAAAGGATAGTTCTACAAAATTTTTGCTATGTCACAATTCTGCTTTAAGGTACAGAACCCCTGTGTATGCCCTCTGCATAATATAAAGGCTAGGAAGAACCTAGCTGAGGAAGCATGAAATTATTCAGAGTTTTTCAATGCTTCTTGAAGCAAGGAGCAAGAATAGCATTTTCTTCCTCTACTTTGAAATACTCAGTGACTCCACATGTGGAAGGGAAGAGGGGATATAAAAATTATAGAAAAACTACTTGTACTGGTAGTTGTCAAAATTTTAATTAGTTTCTTTTCAAGGCCTACACCAGAAAAAAAGATACAGATGACAGTAGGTTTCTGTGGTTAGCACTAGGTGCTTTTCAGAAAAATTCCAACAGTAGACCTTGGGGAATAATAATAATAATAATAAAAAGACCAGTTATGCTGTCATTCATATTAGATAAAGTACAAAAATAATAGAGAAGTGAGTTGAATAAAAAAAGCTTAAAAATAGATTCCAAAGATAACAGTGGTCCCCTATTGATTTTCAAGCATCTAGGCAAAAAAACCCCAACCCCTAATTAAATCTTATACAGTATAAAAACACACAGTACCTTACATTTTAAAAGCTTTCATAATATGATGACTCTAAATAATTTCAAGGTAAAACCCCATATTTTACTGTTTCTAACAGTTTGTGAGAGAGAGCCAATAAAAACAATTTGGAAACAAACAAACAAAAAAAAAAAGGTAATTATTTCTACAGTCCTTCCTTAAAAGAAATATCTATAAAATTAACACAGACACTGTAGTTGTAAATTTGAAAGTAGTAATCTTTACTGTTCCACAGGCTAGCTGAAAGCTTTAGAAGATAATTTAATCTAAATAGCAAATATACATAGAATAAAATATAACTGTGCAAAAAAGGAGCCAATTACCCTGTGATAAAGAACAACATACAGCAAATATTGTCACATACTTCCAAAGTTGCGCGCTTAAGTTCTCAGATAAGCGTCACCAACATTAGCAAGAGATACTAAAATGGGATTACTCTTCCAGCAGAGGACTCCTGTTTTCTTTGCAGTCTATTCAGGGAGTGCAGTAATAGGACGAGAGGTAACATTTTTAAGCTGAAAGAGGGTAGGTTCAGATTAGGTATTAGGAAGAAATTCTTTACAGGGCACTGGAACAGTTGCCCAGAGATGATGTGGATGCCCCCTTCCTGTAAGTGTTCCCAGGTTAGGGTGGATGGGGCTTTGAGCAACCAGGTCTAGTAGACAGTGTCCCTGCCCATAGCAGCAGGGTTGGACAACATGATCTTTAAGGTCCCTTCCAACCCAAACCATTCTATGATTCTACAATTCTATTCAAAAGGAACTTATGCAGCATGGTAATTTATACCAATGTGTATTTTATATATATACTTATATATATTTTTTCTTGAAGAACAAATATCCCAGACTTGTTAATGTAATAAAAAAGTAAAACTCTCCCCTGATTACATGGGGAGGGGAGGAAACAGGAAAGCGACCAGAGTCTTTGTGCAGTAGAGGTGCTGGCAAAGTAAGTTTCAGGAAGCAACTAATAAAATCAACAATAACGCAAACTAACCTGAAATCTGCATGTCCCAACAACTACATAATCATTGCCACCATATGCAATGAGGGAACATGCATCTCCACTGTCAAATGGATTGAATTCTACTACGTGCACATAATCTTCACAACCCACGGTGTAAGCAGTGTTTCTAGTAGAATCTTGCTTCATTTTCGGTGGACTAAGTCAAGGTATCACAGAAGTGATGTCTTCTTCCAGGATGTAAATCTACATTCCTACGTAGAAAGTTTTAAAAAGCACGCATTATTCATTTGCATGAAGAAAAAATATAAAAGGTATTTGTGGCACAACAAATCGAAATTTCCTGTAACATCATATTTAAGAACACAAAAGCTTAAAAGTACTTAAGCTCATATTTTTTAGATGTAGCATGTAGCATCGATCAAAACCTAACCTAACACACATTCAAGACTGCCTCTACAGACTTCAGCCATAACTGCAGATTTTGTGCTACTGTTGGCAACCCAACACCAAGACAAGAAATTAAGTACCTGTACACACCAGAAAAGTCACATACAGAATTTTTAAATGACAAGAAACGATACGTTCCTACCTTAAAATTCTCTTTAAAGTACCTCTTTAAAGACTGTGTGTGTCTAACTAAAAGCAGAGTTAATCAAAGCTGCAAAACTGTAAATGAGAATACTGTCATGCATATTTAAACATGGTTTCATAACTTAGGTCATCCCAACTGCAAATAGAGCACGTATAGCTCCGTGTACCAAAGAACTTGTACTTTATTCAACTGATTTTCAAGAAAACCAGGTTCCTGTGCTAGACCACAAGAGGCTGAGATACACAACTGATTTCAGAATCACTTCTTTTAGTCCCATTACAGATCTGACACTAGTTTAAGCCTTTTTTAGGAAATCAGGCCTTTAATTATGCACCACATGGAAAAACAGCTTTAAATCTCAGACCTTTGACAGCTTTTGCTGTGTTAACGATCTGAACGTGTTGGCATCCAAGACTGAGTATTTTGCTTGGGAGCCACTCAGGTTTGACACAGGCATCACAGAGGTGCAAAGAGGCTCTCCATAGCTGCCATGTTTATTTTTTAATACAACAAACCACCCCATTAACCTAAATACTTTAGCCATATGACTTGTATAGTCATGCTCCTACGGCCAAATGCAAATTTTAACCCTATCCACAGTTTTCTTCCTCCAAGGCTTCCCACAAACATAGGCCACCTTTAAGTGAAAACATCAAGAATGCTATTAGCTTCATTCCTTTAGGAAACACATTTCGGGCAATTGAGCCCTTTGGGTGCCCGTCACCTCCCTCTCCGCCCGCCTCCCCCCCAAACCTCCTACTCCCTTTTTTTCCCTTCAGGGCCCAGT